CTTTTAACAGCACAAAAAAGTAAATTTTATTCACAAAAGAAACTTTATGCACTCCACATAAGTAGCACAAAGGTATGTTTAAAATGAATTTTTAAGCAGAAATTCACCAATTCCCTGCGGAAAATGGGTAATATTTCAGTTTATTTACGGGGGCATAAAGTTCCCTTCCATTTCCACCTGCAGGTGGTAGAACCCCACTGATATTTCGCATTGCCGAAAACTGAAAAATACCATTTGGTTTTTAATGAGTCGCCAATTTGTTGGCTTTTGTAATGGTGCATTTTGTTTTTCCTCTGCGCTTGAAACTTTCATTTTCAGTCCGTAAAATATGCAACTAAATTTCGGGTTTTGACCAGCTGGTAGAGGGTGGCTAAAAACAACTATGGTTGTAATTAATTTGTGCATGTGACGAACGCATTTATTGCCGAAATTGCGGCAGATGCTGGCCGTCCTTCCCGACGGCATTTAGCGGCCGGTTTTTATGGCCAACTAATTAACTGAACTGGTCGGTGGAGCGCACTGGCCAAATCCCAAATTAATTGGGAATTAAACGCTGGGCGGGAAAGTTCTCATCGCTAAATGAGGGGCCATAAAACCAGTATGCAAATAATAAAACCCAATCCCCCGACATTGATTCCTTTGCCATTCCATTTCGCTCGTGGAGCAATAAAATCGCATCCCGTTTCCCAGGACGAAAAGCTTCTGCTCATTCAGCTCTCCTTTCAGCATCCTTTTCCAAAATCGTAAAAGAAAAATATGAAAAGCCAGGGAGGCCCATTTCCTTTTTGAGAGCCTGCGGCATAAACTATATTTAACAATCTGTTTATGTGGACTATGTTTGCCTCGGTTAATGCTCCGAAGTCAGCAAATCTGTACTTTTATGTTTGTATTTCAAATATGAGGATGGTTTCTGGGGTTCGGGAGGCACAAGGGTTCCACTCGAGACAAATGTCCTTTTGGTCCGAGCAGCTGCTGTGTTTTTTCTTTTCGACCAACTAGAAAATTATGGTTGTTGGGCGAGGTGGATTGATGTATACCCTGGGGTGTGTTAGCCTAATCCAGGCATAACAAAATTGATTTTTTTCACTGCCCGATTTGGCCAAGTCAAAGGGTAGCGTTGAACGACCCTTAAATTGGTGGCCTTCAATTTTATCGAGAGCAAACAAGATTTGGGTATCTGTTTTTATTTGATCTGTAAATCGGCAGTTCAATGTTTTTTTATCTCATTAATATCTTTGGGAATACTTTCTAGTTTTAATGGTTTCTTTATTTGTTTTTGATTTAGGGTTGTTTGTTGTTTGAATAATGAATAATAATTATAAAGGAATGTAAGTTGATATTGTGTTCAAATCGTTTAACCTTTAACTTGAACCAAAGCTTATTTTGGATATACATTTGGAACCCGTATTAGTATTAATTAGTAATATAAAGACTTAGTAAACCATTTAGTAAATTTAAGCGCACTTCTTTGAGCTTTGCTCTTCACTCAAAGACTTAATATAAATCCCCCATTTTCGTGTCGATGGCGATGAATGGAAATTAGTTAGGGGATTTGTAACTTGGCCAACGAACTTCGTGTTTGGACTAATCCGCAAATCTAGTTCCCATTTGATTAGCCAGCATATTTATCACTAAGTAGCCGAAAAGTAGTTTGTCTAGGCCCATTTCCATTCACCTCCCCGCAAACACTCCAAATGTTCTCTCATTGTTATGCGTGCTATGCACAATTTTTGTGTTTGTCTTATTGTTTGTGTGACGCACCACACTCAAAAAAAAACTTGTTCCTTCATTTAAAAAAAATTGTATTACAATGTATGTAATCATTTTTGGAACCACACATTTTCTAAAATTGTTGTGCCAATAATTTAAAATATGTTTTATATATTCCTCTAATCATAATCATGTTTTCTTCAAGAATGAATTCATTCAATTTATAATAACCACATAATGAATAACCTATAAATTGTTACCATTAGTTTTTGAGGAATAATTCATTTTAGGAAATTTGTTTATGAAAAGAATTTAATTAGCAAAATCAATACGTTTTTGAACCATTCATTTAATTTTTTTCAGGAATTTTGTAGTTTGTTAATTAATGTTGTAATTTAGTAATTTTTTAAGAAACAAAGTGAATTAACCTAAAGAAAAATGTATTGGTATCTGAAATTATTTTTCGAAATTAATCATGAACATTTCTTTTTTTAAAGTGTAACGTTTTTTTGAGTGGATGGCTGGGAGTCGAGCACATGCGTGCGATTTATTTGCTGTCACCACAAACACAAACATCAGCGCAGATAGGCACACACAAATATGTATGAACATGCACACACACATACACACACATTCAACAACAATGACTTTCGCACCCTGGGCCAACACTTGGGGCCACAAATTAACCCAAGCACGTAGCTCGCTTAGGCGGCCTAATCAAATAGAAGCGCCCAAATCAAACAACAACAACATCAAGAATAACAACAAGAACAACATGAACACAACAACAAGAACAACATGAACAACAATAAGAACAACAACAATTGGCGCAAGGCAGCAGCCACGCGAAGAGCTAAGTAAATATATGAGTTTGACACCCACAAACTGGCAGGAGTGCGACTCTCACCGCCTGGAGAAGTTAAGAGTGCGGCTTGAACCCGCCAAATTCCATTGACATTCCTATGCTCAGATTCATTCCCTTGTCACTCAAAACCTCTCAAACCTACCATTATTTTTTACAAGTTTTGACAATGTTGTCTTATTTTTTGGGAGGAAAATAAATAGGTAATTATTTCATAGCCTTAACCACCATTTGTAAAAAAGGTTTGAAGACTTGAAAGGGTTCGAGTTATGAAATATAATTTTCTATCGTTTATACTCAAGATATCACTTCTTAAATATCATAGTTTAACCAGTGGCGGATCCACGGGGGGGGGAAATTAGGGAAATTTCCCCCCCCCTTGGAACCAGAGAACCTGAAAATTTTACTTGTTTGCTATGGTTGACTTTTCAAATATAACCACTTTGTTTACCAAAAAATTGGGATGGATAATTTTTGTTTTATAATTTGTACTGTATTTCTCTCGCAATAATAAGTTTGAACCCCAAATCGAAGAATAAGTTCAATTTCCCCCCCCAAGAATCGTCTCTGGATCCGCCACTGGTTTAACACACACATAATATTTGTACAAAAAGATAAAGACCTTTTGGCCAATAAATAGAAATAACTACCAGCAGGTTCTCCAAATATTTACTTTTTAAGACTCTGGCAAGTACTTAAGCAAATTTAGACAACACATATCCTCATTTATTAAAACACTTAAAATTATTATTTAAATTTAGTAAAAACTTTGTTTTGCAATATGGATATTTGATGGATCATTGATTTAAAGAAGATTCTTATGAACGTTATAAATGATTGATTTACATGATCACTTAACAGTGGCTGTTCACTTAACAGAGGCTTCGACTGTTGATCCATTAACATCCACTGCTTTATCGACCCGCTTTCTTGTCTTGCTGATGATTGAGTTTCTGTTTCTTTTCCGTTCACCCACCATCAACCACCACCTACTCTTAAGTGTTCTTGGCCAGCAGGTGGTTTCTGGGTGGTTTTGGGTGGCCGAAGGTGGGTGGTCGTATTAATTAGACCACCCACCAGTCCGATTTCCCCGCTGATCTCGAACAGAGCCACCGAGTGCTGCGTAAATTGAGTGGCTCTACATGATGAGTGGCATTTGCGTTGGCCGCCTTTGTTGCCATGTTGCCGTGTTGCCGGCTTTGTTGCTGCTTATGCTTTCGCCTCGGCTTTGAGTGGCTGCCACTTGAGTGGCGCTAAAGTCGTGGAAAATGAGCCATCAACAGCTGCCGCCTCGGGCCTGTTTGCTCCAGCGAGAGAAAAACCAAGCAGAACAGTGAGAAAAAAAATGCATACACCATTAATAGACTTTATTAATAAATTAAATTTAATTAATATAGAATTTTCAATTTTTATTTTTCTGAACTTCAACAATAAATAAACAAATAATTGAACTATATTGACATATTTTCGATTTTGAAATCCTTTCAGAAATTTTGTTTATTTTTTTTGTCGACCTGGGAACTTAGTTACTTTAGAACGGAACCTAAAAATTAATTCAAATAAAAAAATTCAAAAATAAGAATTTATCTAAACTTTTTAAAAAAATATTTTAATAACAAAAAGTTAAAATACTCTTTTATTGCCAAGTTTTTAGAGATGAAAATCTATATTTAAGAATTGGTTGCTAGTTAAACTACAACTTACTCATACTTTTTAAAGTAAAAACATTCCTTTCTTCTGTGTATTTTATTATGGTAATTTTTGGTCGGAGTCAGACTATCGTTTTATTGGTAGATTTATGAGATAGATGTAATTATATAAGATTTAATCCAAATAAGTATTTATTACATATTCCTATAAATTTCTTTTTAGTGAATTTTGTGGGCCAGCAGGCAACAGGCGAACAGTTGTTGACATTCTTTTTAGCCTGGCTGTTGACTAGACGCCCCAGCACGTGCTGTCGTTCCGCTCCGACGCCCTGTTGGTTAGAGCGAGACGGCGAAACGCGAGCGGGCCGCAGCTGAGCATGCATATTTTATGGGGCAAACCCAATCCCTGAAACCGCCTCCCGCCCCCCGCTCCACCCACCGCCCCCTGCAGCCCAAAATCCCCCCGGAAGGTGGAAAATTCAACGGGAGCCACAACATCATTACAAACAGCCGGGTTCTGGGTTTACTTTGCTGTTTCGCATGTCGTTCGCTTCATTTATTTATGCACAAATATCCCACAGAAGGTGCAGGTGGTGAGGCCACAGAGCCGCAACGACAGCGGCAACATCAACGGCAGAAGCAACAGCAACAGCAACAGCAACAAAAGAAACAACAACAGCAGCAACAGCAACAACAACAGCAACAGCAGCAGCATCGTCATCAGCAGCAGCAACATCAACGGCAGCAACATCGCCAACAGCAGCAGCAACAGCTGGAAATGTTCAATTCAATCAGTTTAAATCTCACTGCCGAGTACCCGGAAAAGCGAATTTCACAGATTTTTCTTTCAAGAAAAAAACTCAGCTCAGCACTATAATATATGTGCGCACACGGAAAGGTGGGGAAGATACTCGGAATATATATTAGCTCCTCCTGGGAGTTATTTCTTTTGGCTACCTGGTTCATTATGTCTGGTTGTCTGAGAAGCTGGTGAATGTTCTTGTTTAGGTAGGTGTACTATAAAGTGAGGTAACAAAAGTAAAAACAAAAGTTCTGTGACATTAATGTTGCAGCTAACAACATATGTTTATGTGGCACTACAAGCTCAGATTCCGATTCCAATACAAGCCCCCAAACGCATGTTTATCTGCTGAAAGTTTGCCGTGACTGAAATACCAATAAAAACGAAACCCAAAAAGCGAAGGGAAACAACTTTTAGACGCCGGCTTTAAATTGTGCTTAAGTGTAATATTTGTTTATTTTATTGCACTGGAATGTTCCCCTTACTTCTTACTGCTGCTTACTTGCTAAGGGCTCTTGTTTTATTTTTACGTATTTCCCTTACATACTAAAAAACAGTGACAAATCAGACCCAGGATTGTGTGTTTTCTTCTGTTTCTGCCGCTTTTTTCTTTCTTCTTACTCAAGCTGCCTCGTATTTTGGTTTATTTTCGTCTTAATCTGCGTAAATTGTATTTCATTTGATTTTATTTCCCCCGCCGAGTGGGTGGAGAGTTGAGTGGGCTTGGATGGGTGGTTGAGTGGGTTTTCGTTTGGGCTTTCAGACAAAGGGATGCCGCGTGCGCCGCTTGGCCTTGATGGGATACTCGTATCCCTCGAAGTCGTCGTCCTGGTCGTCCTCGTGATGGTGGTGGTGGTGGTGACTGCGGCTACTGTGGTGCTTCTTCGGCTCGTGGTGGTGCTCCTTCACCGGCACCGGAATGGGCAGCGGTACCTTCTTAATGACCGTCTTCGTGTGCACATGTGTGTGGTGCTTCACCGGCACGTGTATTCGGATCCTGCAAATGGTCAAATGGCTCGTGAACATTGTTCCACACAGCAAAAAACAAAGAACATCTAAAGGACTCTATTAACTGTACAGATAGAAAATAAGTTCCTTAGGATGATGTCAAGATAATATAGTATTGGTTGATATAATATATATCAAGAAAATATGCTTAATAACGTACTTTTTATTTTATTTAATAAAAGAAAATTTAGTAACATATGTATGTTAAAAACTATTTTCCTTTAAACCTTTTTTTAAAATTTGCACTAAAAAGGAAATATTACATTTTTGTTCAGATAGAATATTATTCAATTAACATTTTTTTATTGTATCTTTTTATAACAAAATGAAACAATTTTTTTAAAATGTTGTATGATATGAAAGAACACTAATAAAATATTTTTCCATGAATTTTAAAAGGAACGTTCTTTACGTGCGTGTATTGTTTTAATTAAAATATACGAGAAAGGTCTCAAATAATATTGAAAAGTATACTTTTTTTTTTTTATTTTTACCCATGTTTATTATTTTAGTTGGGGATTTAATTGGGAATTTAAATAGTAAAGATATCAAATGATGTTAAAAACATGTTGAGCTATAATAACCGTACAAACATAAGTTAGCCTTGGGTAATGATAGTATTTCGCTGTGTAGTCGTTAAGGGGGCGTGGCTGTGGGAGGCGGAAGAGGGGCGGGGGCGGGGCGTTAACTTACTTCAGCTTGTCGCTTGATGGATGGCCGCCTGCCAGTGCGAACATCATGCATGTGACGAACAGAAAGCTTAATGCCTGCAACGGGAAAACAAGTATAAAGATTACGATTCGTTGGCAAGCGTAAAGAGGTTATCGCCCTCCTGCCACTTTTTGCTTTCTGGCCTTTTCGCAAAACAGCTCATAAACATAAACATCCGAACAATACAATTAGCATAATAATACGCATCCAAGGACCTCGTCTCCCTGCTCCTCTATTATAATATTATTGGCAGGACCATCTAACGATGATGGGACCGCCGCCTTCATCTCAAGATTGTTTCTGATGTGGGCGTGACAGAAGCTGTCAGACGCACTGGATGGATAATTTGGGACCGGTCAACTTCAATTTGGTCGAAACGGAAATAGAAAATCATTAAGCGTCTCGCTCACTTGGCGGTAGATTGGCCCAAACTGAGACAATGCGTCTAGAGAAACTCGATGGTATAAATAAAATGGCATTTAATTCATGCTGATTGCTCAAATTGGGAAAACTCGAATGAAAGTCTGGGAAAAAAGACTCTTTTATAGCAAATTAAAAACACTTAATTGAAGATGTGAATTGAAAAAGGAAAAAAATAGTAATCATTAGTATGTGAATTTAAAATACACTTATTTTTGTATGAATCATTTAACATTAAAATGCAAAGGCTTTTTAAAAATGCAACCAGCATTTTTTGAATAAATACAAACAATTTGCTTAAAATGTGAGTTGTAAATTCCGTTTGAAAAAATCATTTTCGTTTTTCTGTTAACTGCAACATTAAACAGTTCATTAAAACCATTTCCCTAAGCTTATCACTTTATTGGGAAAAATATTTATGCTGTTTCCGACATTTTCACAATCACAAAACAACTCCCTTTCACTTTGCCGCTCCGCTTATTATAGTATTGTCCAAATGTGACTTTCCCTTTATTGCACATTTTTGTTCAATTAACCGTTTATGGTCAACTTGAGAGTTCTTTTCATGTTTCGACATTTGTTGGTCGTAAAAAACAAATTAAGTTTTTGTGGTTCGCATTCGCATTTTATTTTTTTTTGTTCGCTTTGTTTTATTCATTTCCCGCGCGATTGGAGTCAATAAAATCGTTGCGAAATGTAAGATTTTTTTTTGCATATTTTGCGTGCACTTAACGCGGATTATTTTGGGACTTTCTAAGCCGGATTTTATTTTAAATATTTGATTTTTCTCGTATTTTCTCCTTGGCCAACACAGATATGGTACATTTTTTGTTCCAATGTTTACGTTAATTTTTTTGGGCTGCTCTTCATTATTTGCTCGCCACGAAAAAATGTAATTAACACTTACTCCTTGGGGCAAATGCATTGTTATTTGCGTTATTTTTTTGCTATTGGTTCGATGTTGTTAAATTGGATTAAAAGTGCGGATTTCGGTAAACCATCGTCGACGGGCGTAGAAATGGAATTGCTCTGGGACCCGCCGCCTGCATCCGCTTAAATATGAGGCAAAAAGCGAAGAAAAAAGTTATGAGCTACAGTGAAACGTGCCACAGACAGACGGGCAGCGTCAGGCAGCGTCAGGCAGCGCCACTTGCAGCAACAATGCGGTGACACGAAGTTGCTGAGTTGGAAACGAAGTAAAACAAAAACACTAACAAATGCAAAAACAAAAACATAATCAACTCGGCGAAGGGGCAGCGGAAGTGGCTAGTTTTGTCAGCCAAGACTCTCCGACTACAACTCGTCTTTGGGTTCGGGCTCAAACTAGCGGCCATGTTAACAGCCGGTTGGCCTTTTACTACCATCTGGTCGACTTGCCAAGAGCGCTTCGGTCAGTTGTGTATTTACTATATAGCCACATAATCAGGAGTTTCGTGGAAATAAATGTCCAGAAATTCAGTGAAGCTAAGTAAATTTTTTAAATTTCTGGCATCTTTGAAAAGAATCCCTACGATGTAAAAGAATGTCTAGAAACTCTAATTAAAATTAAATTTAATTTAAAACAAATTTAGTATGAATGTCTGGAGGTGCAAAATTATTTTTAGGAAATTATAAACATTTTTAAATGGCTTAAGAAATTATAACAATGTGTTGAAAGCTTTTTTAAATATTTTCAGTGAAACATTATAATATGGAAATGTGTTGTGGTGTTTAAATTTTATTTCCTCACGTGGAGTTTTAAAATTGTGCTTATTTGTTTATATTATATGATATGATGGATTTTAGAGCTTGCACATTTAATGATTAAGTAGTCATTTCTCTAAATTTAGCCTTGTCTGCTAAGCCACTTGAACTTAACTAAAAATAAGTTTAAATATCTTAATTTAATTTACCTTGTAAACATATTTAACAGATTAAAAATCTGCATAAGGTAGAGTGCCTTGCACCCTGACATGATAGTGAAAACACGCGGCGCAAACAAACCGATCCAAAGCCAAAACAAAACCCAAAGCAGCCAGAAAGTGAGACGCTGACAGCCATCCAGAAACTCGGGCTCAAAGCCACAAGCTACCGAACCGTATGTTCCCCTCTCACTCGGAAAAGCCGCCTAACATGAAGATACTTTTCCGAGAGCCAGGCTGCTCAAGTGCGAGCGAGAGGGGGCTACGTGTAATTGAAGCCTGTGCCCGAGAGTTAAACGCAGCGATTATGTCGGTCTGCCCGCCTCCAGCGGTCGGAAAAGCGGTGGGTGGGGTAGGAAAACTGGAGGGTGGAAATCAGGGGGTGGGAACGGGGGAGGGGCTGTTGGCGCCGGCAGCGGGTTGCAATTGCCATTGCAGTTGCAGTTGCAGTTTCAGTTTCCAGTGGCAGTGGCAGTGGCAAGGATTCGGCCAGCTTCCTGGTTAGGCATTTGGACTCGCCGTCGCATTCGTTTGCCGCAAATTGAGTTGTGCGCTGAAATATGTCGTCGTGTCAACTGCACTCCCACTTAAAGAAAAAATCCACTTATTTCTGTAAAAATGTCAAAATGATGTAGATAATAACACAATTAGCAAAATAATTGATGAAATTTTATTTTAATTCAAGATTATAACACCTGTTCTTGAAAGCATACAAGCAAAGCAAATTTTTATGTATTAAATGTGCATATAAATTTTATACTTTATAACTTTAAAAACCCTTTAACACATTCACCAGATTGAGTCTTTATCAGCAGTTTTAGCACCTACAGAATTAAAAAAGAAAATATAATACAACTCTTCTAATAGTTTTTGGGTGTTGCAAAATTAAAAGTCAATTAAAATTGAAATGGTAAATCGACAAGAAAATTGCACCTATTAAATAATACTATATATGCGAATAACATTTTTTTGATATTTTGCTATTTTGATATTGATGTTATAACTTATAAAGAGATCTGTTTGTTTTCAGAATATAACGTCTACTTTAATTTAATTTTTCCAATTCGATTGTAAATAAAATTTTACGATTAAAAGTACTTTTTATGTTAACATTATTTCTTTTTGTGCTTCAATAGGATCCGATTTTTTGCAGTGCAAGTACACCCGCACCGACCTGAATTCAATTGCAATTTAAATGTGCAATGCGATGGCAATCAGTTTGATTGGCCATTCTGGCCGCTGGGCCCAAATCGGAGGTACTAAAACCGTAGTCATAGCATTAGCCATAGCCATGAATGTAATGCAGGAAGCGCTTCATTTCGGCGAGCTAATCAACTGGTTTCGTTGGCACGCCGCGGCGATTGCATAACAATGACAAATCCAACAAATCCAGACCGGCACGACACTTGGTCATTGTCTTTGCTTCGACGGCGACGACGACGAGCTCATCCAACTAGTTTGGCTTTTCAGCCCGCTTTTTTTGTTTTTTGCGCACTGTTCCGCCTGACATGATATAACTCGGATACTACCTCCATTATTCCATACTTCCACTTATTATTGGCCGGCAATTGTTTTGTTTTCGCCGAGAAGGAGGTGGAAAGTTTTCTCCTCTTGGGGTTCCACCGCCAGAAGTTGGGCAATTAATAGAAACATTTCGATATGATATAATCATAAGAGCGAGACATTTGATCGAGCCATTTGACCGGTTCGGTCGACTTTTCCAGCATGATCGCGCAATTGCGAAAAAGTGTCAAAATTAATTGCCTACAAAGTGGCTCGATTCGATGCGGTGGTTGGTTGGCTGGCATCGGGTCATTAGCACCACATTCGCCGCTTTGGTGGCAACCGAAAAAGTGGCTATTAATAAAAAAAGGAAATGTAACAAGTTGCGAAATGGTAATTAAGAGTTTACATTGCCAGTTTGTATCCATGGCATTATCTGAATTTTCTTTAGAGAAATTTATATATGCGACTTTGTTAAAAATGCTCATTTTTTTAATAACATATTTTGCTTATTATTATTTAGCAAATTAAACTATTTCGGAAACATTTATATTTCACAGCCTTTAACCTACTAAAAACTTAATTTGCCTTTATAAAAATAATTTGTTTGTCTACAATACTTTTTCAAGATATTTATAGTTACAACAAATATTTATAGTTTAACAACATGCAAAACAACAACATATTATAAAATGAAATAGAGGGTTGTTATTTACAAAAAAGTTTTTAGAACTTTAAAAAATTATTTATACCTAATTAATAGTTTACCGAACACTAGTGGCATTAGACTTTGAACTAAAATTATTTGATAATTAGTTGATTTATTTACAATATTATTTCCAAACTCATTTTTGGGTTTCAACAAATTTCAGCTATGGGAGCGACACTTTACATCTTTTCCAAATTGATATATTTTAGTTACAAAATAGCAACTTTTCCATTAACTCCCTAAAAGTTAACCCATTTCAAAATGTATTTTTATCTTTTCACACAGTAAAGTAATGTAGCGCAAGGCCAGGTGAAAATGTTGAGCACTTCGCACCGCGAATAATATTGGAGATGGCCAACGGCGATGGCGGCAATGCAAACGAAAGCGGCGAAGCCAAATTTGCTTAACCTGTTGGTTGTGCCGCTGTGCTAACGGCCTTTCACTTCGGCCGGAATGGCCTGCCAAGGATTATCCAACCGAAACTCAAAGCCAAAGCCCCGGAAACCGATACATCAGGCGGTTGTCTCCCTCGTCGGCCAACCATTTCCTTTAGCAATAAATTTTCACTTAACTATGTCGATCATCGCCGCATATGCGTACTATATGTGCATATGTGCGACATGCAACATTCATGTGCAACATATAGCCCACCACCACCCCCTTGTTTTTCCACCCCATTCCGGTGGGTGGGTCCTGTGTGTGTGAGTGTGACACAATTTTCCAGTTTGCCAGTTACGCCTCGTAAGTTTAATTGACGGAAGCGCGTTAAAATTGCAGAGCCAAACCAAAAAGTTGAGCTGGGAGAAAAACATGGTTGCGAAAAATCAAAATGAAAACAAAGTGAAAATTTGTGTATGCATTATGCATCTGCATACGCCAGAGTTTCCCGCTTCATTTACCCATATGTAATTGATGACCATATTAAAGAGTTCGATTGGGATTAAGCTTCGGTTTTGACCAGACCAAACGAATCGAATCGGGTTTTCGAAAGAAAGGAAGAAAAGCCTGCTCATGTAACGCTTTTCACACGCTTTTCCTAAATCAAACAAATACCAGTTTTGTATTATGTTGCTTTAGCAATAAATTGCGTTAATCGCTAATTAACGTTGTCTCTGGAATTTTAAAGCACGCAATTGGGTAAAATTGTTGGTCTACGTAACATTAATTCTCCGTTTGTTATATATTGTAAAAAATCAAAGCAATCTGGATTACCAATATTACCAAATTGAACTTCCTTTTACTAAAAATTGTTAAAGTTAGTACTCAACAGATTGTTAAATAATTGTTATGGCATCTATAAATAAATCTAAGCAATTAAGAATATAAAATCCCGTCGTAATAATAGCATTTATGTAATAAAATTTACTTACTTTGCCTTAACTCAAAGCTCTAAATAAAAATGTATATGTCTTGTCTCTCTGAAATTAGTTAATAATAAAATGAAAATGAGAAAATGAATGTATTCAATCTTGTAAACCTTTTTCCTGAAAAATAAACTAATTTTAACTGGGAATTACATTTTCGTGTAAACAAGTTTGCCTTTTTAGTTTAAATTATTAAATATGTTTACTTTCTGTAGTTTTAAAAATTTCAGCTTTAATCTAACCTTCGATTGACTCAGTTTGACTTTAGGGAATTCAGTTTATATCTGATTTCCATGATGTGAGTAAATTGACCTCTTGTCGCAGCAACATCAGCACTTCCTCAATGTCCTTGGAAGTCGGCTTCCCAGCTGCCGATGAATCAATTGCGAAGATTTAAGGATAAACTTGGAGTGTTTCTTGCGAGGAAAACTATTTGCCTTGCTGACATCATCAAAAGTGACCTTGCCACAGGAATCGGAATCGCAATCGGAATCGGCAAGTTGGCTTAAATGTATGTACTATATATGTGTATATG